AACAACGCATTTTTTATTGTGGATCAGGGTCAATGTTTCCCTCAACAGAAAGTTCTAGAAACTTCTAGGGAGGCTATGCCTAGTTCACAGGGTAGTCTTTTCCAGGATCATCCCACAGAGTTGTAAGATTTGTGGAACAGAGTGAAAATGTCAATGCCTGTGTTAATTCTGATGGCAAAACCCCACGTGCCCCAAACCTAGCACTGCAATCCACGAGTGGTGAAGAAACAGAAGCCTCTGTGGCCAATGCAGGGGGCCCATCACCGAGACCCATCCTCCAAGAAGCCTCAGGACCAGCCCCATGGAACCGCCTTTACCTCCTCTAGACACAACCAATTTCTGCTGGCATAGCATCAAAGTTTTTTAATTGCTTTATGCCAAAAAACACAGGACATATCCACTCCGATGAAAAGCTCCACAGGGAACAAAGCTGATGTCTTTACAGCCCCAAAGCATCTGATCCAGAGCTGCTGTCCCTCGATGTGGACAACCACTTTAGGCCCTGTTTCTGAGCCATCGGATCGCTGGTGCCCAGTGACCCTCTCTGGGGGGAACTGAATGGAAGGATGTGGCTCTGGATCTGGGCAACGTGGGCTTAAATTATCCCTCTGCCTGGTCCCATGGCCTTGGGCAAGTTCATTAACAGCTCTAGGTGTCTTCACCTACAATCAACGATCGTACCTATGGAACGGGAGTACTGTAAGGGTCACAGAAGATGATAAATATAAAGCACTCAAAACGGCAAGTGATCGATGAATGTCAGCCCCTGGAGCTCATGCTTCTTCCTATCAGCCTTTGGCATTAACCCTCCGGGTGGCTTCCAAGCATCCAGAGGGGCACTCTACTCGTGTCTCTAAGAATCAAAGGCTATAGGAGAATTGGCTGTATTGACTGTGAAGATTCTGAACGGCAGAACCTGGAATCTGACCCATTTCTCCAAGGCAGCTGGAGAACGTCACAGCTTCCTGAGAAAAACAAGTCTACCGCCAGATGTGAGTTTTAGGGAAATGCTGAAACACAGTCAGGGAACAAGAAGGGCAGGTACAGCACTGAGGGTGTAGCGAGTAAACAGAGGTTCTGCCATAATTTCATCAAGAGTAACTGAGTACCAGACACACAGTGGCTCGTGACAGGCACGGCCATGGTGAGCAAAGGAAGAGAAGGCAATGGAAGAGGAAGATGGCGTCTGGCTTGGAGATGCTGCAGGTGAAGTGCCATTGGGTCATGCGTGGGGGAGAGGCAGACGGTGACCACACAGGGTAGAGCAGAGAACAGGACCAGATGGCGCTGGCCACAGGTACAAGGACCTGCTCATGGTGGGGCAGAGGACGGAGAAGTGTGATGGCCAAGAAGGTCCCCCGAAGCACCTGCTGAATGCTTAGGATGTCTGGGGGTGGCTGTAGGCATGTGAAAGGGGCAATCTGATGTGCAGACAGAAGATTCCAGACTGAGACGAAAGGGTGAGGGATCCATCAGGACCCCAAAGGAAGGGGCAGGTAGGGGAGAACTCAACACAGGTGGAGGGTTAGTTTCAGGTAGTAGAATGGACTCGTCTTCTTCGGAAGGAAGTGAGAAAGGAAAGGTGATGTTGAACAGGTATTAGAGGATCTTTTCAGTACAGCAGACAAACCAGCAACATTTGCTAAAGGTGGGAGGGGGTGGGTAATGAGTCTCAAGCTTGAGAAGCTGCCAGAAATACTGTTAAGATAAATGGAACAAGAAATCTTTTTTTCTTTAATTTTTATAAAAAATAAAATGGTATGGGTGCTGTGGAAAATGACATGGTAATTCCTCAAACAATTACATATACAGCCCAGCAATTCCACATCTGGTATAGACCCAAAAGAAGTGAAAGCAGGGCTTGAACAGCTCGTTACTTGTAAACTTACTTTCACAGCAGCATCATTCACAAAGGCCAAAAGGTGTAAAGAACCCAAGTGTCCATCAAACGGTGCATGAATAACAAAATTTGTTAGATACATGCAATGGGATACAATTCTGTCTCAGCAAGGAAGGAAATGCTGACACCTGCTACAACATGGATGAACCGTGAGGACATTATGCTAAGTAAAAGAAGCCAGTCACGGGCTTCCCTGGTGGCGCAGTGGCTGAGAGTCCGCCTGCCGGTGCAGGGGACACGGGTTCATGCCCCGGTCCAGGAGGATCCCACATGCCACGGAGCGGCTGGGCCCGTGAGCCATGGCCGGTG